CAAAACCCAAACAAAGAAAGGAAAGAAACTTGTTACATGATCTTATAAATGCAAAAGAGATTACTTACCCTAACTCAACTAAGCTTAATTTACCTCTGCTGAAATGTGTCTTTAAATTTAGAGTGGGTTGTGCTAAACACCAAAGATAGCCGAGTTATGAGTACTTTATCACACAAAGCAACTTTCTGCGTGTCTCTCGATTTGTTTCTTGTTTGATATGATAGATGGCCCAATAACTCTTCTCTCAGAGCAATATGTTTTCATAACTTTTATGTTTAATTAATGAATTCTGGCACTAATCTTAATTAATACAATAGCAGGATATCATAATTATTCTCGCACGTTTTTTAAAAACTCTACAAACAGCTATTCTTTTTGTTTTTTCTTCTTGCAAATGGCTGCATCAAAGCTGGCATATATAGGTCTGTTGTTTTGCACTTTGAAATAATCGCCGCACTATTAAATAACTGTCGCGCTTTGTAATACAGTAACACTTGAACATTGTATTAATAGGGCTGTCGCACTTTGTAACAGCGCTTTTCGCACTTTGAAATAAATTTGGTACAGCTGGTCGGAAGGCGAATGTGCCTGATAAACCAGTCTCTCTAAAAGCGGTCCGATTCATTTCGGTTCGAAAATTCGGTTTCTTTTTTAACAGTTTTTAGTTAATGATAAACTATTTAGCGGCACTGAGCGAACCGAAAAAGTGGAAACTTTTTTAAAATTTCCTACGGGTTTCGTCTGACAATAGCAGACCTCAGGGAGTTTTTAAAAGTTGGGTAATTAAAAAGCTTGCTTATTTACAAATATGAAATATAATTTTTTTTTCGACCTTTACACATATAATTTGAAGCAAGCTGAAAGTATTCGCAAGCTTTGACTAAGGTGTTGTCCGTGAGTGACATTTTTCGGAACTATTTTTTTTATTGACAGGGACGATGATATGTCCTGATAAAGTGCGACAATTTTATTGCAGAGTGCGACAGTTAGTACAGAGTGGGACAGGTGTTCCTCTAAATATGCCAATAATAGCAGGTAATTTAGTGTTAACAACTGGGTTGAAAACGTAAATTAGCCACCGTAAAGGGTAAAAAAGCTGACGTTTCGAGCGTTAGCCCTTCGTCGGAGCGATTAGAGGAATTGTGGGTTGTGTGTGGATTTATAGGTAGGAAGTGGAGCTACGCCATTGGTGGGAATGTGGTGACGAGAAAACAGGAATAAATTAGTTGAATGAAAAGCGCTCGTTGATTCCGTGGGGATTAAGGGTGCCGATTTGGAATATAAATTTTTGTTCTAGTGTTTTACGGCTTTCCGAACTGCCTAGATGTAAGGAAAGGCCGCAAACTGCCATATGCTGTTTAGAATGATAAGGAAGATTAAAGTGTCTAGCGACTGGTTTGGATGCGTTCTTGTCATTTCTTTCCACATCGCGAAGGTGTTCTCGGAATCGGTCACCCAGTCGTCTTCCTGTTTCGCCGATGTATAACTTATTGCAATAAGTGCAAGTTATGCAGTAAATAATATTGGCGGAGGTACATGTAAAGTGATCAATGATCTTAATGGATCTTTTGGGTCCCGATATTTTCTCTACGTTATGAATGAAAGGACAAGTTTTGCATCGTGAGCGAGCGCATTTAAAAGTTCCAGATTGGTCATAGGTTTGAAATGAACTCCTGACTAAAAAAGTTGCCTATGTTTTTGTCGCGTTTGAATAAAATAAGTGGGGGTTGCGAAAAGATAGTGCCAGTCTCTGAATCGTTTTGGAGTAATTTAAAATTTTTAAGAATGATAGATTTAACTGCGTGGTTGTGAGGGTGAAATATAAGAGTAAATGGAATGCGGTCAGTGTTCTCCTTCTCGGCCGTTTGTAGTGCTGCCTGTCGATCGATTAGTTGGGCACGGTGGTAGCCCGCTTGAACGACAGAAACAGGATAGCCGCGTTTATCGAAAAACTGGCACATTGCCTCTGATTTTTATGCCAATAATAGTCGACTTATGAATACTTCATGCTTCATTAAACTTGTCGTTATATTGGTGAAAATCAACAATATGCATTTCTTTTACACTGCTTGTTTTTTTATCACTGTCTCATGGCTTCTTTACTATTTCTGAGTTGTCTGGTCATTAACGTCCTATTGACATACCGCTTTACGGTAGTACTGTATATAGTATTGAAAAGCTTGTATTTCCCAACATTATCTGCCAAAGACATATACATGCTTTTGACACACAAAATTGATTATAAGTTTGAGCTCATGAGAGTAGGAAACACAAGCTAACACTCGACCATCACTTGTGTGTATCACATGTACAGCAGAATTTCCTCAGGTGATATTCCGTGTGATGAACAAAACACTAACCCCTAGTACATGGACTACCCAGATGGACTGCCTTTCAGTTTTTTGTTTTTGCTAGTTGCAGCAAACACCTCGAAATTCAGGCGATTATTTTAACTATTTTAAGTCCTCTCGTCGATAAATAGCTTGAAGTCATTCTACTTCCCTGAATATCGATTATGAAGTAAGGCGAGAAATCGTTACGTATACTTTGTCTGACCGCCCGCTAACGGTTATCCCCTAGTACCCTCCTAGTATGCAAACCTATAGGCTGAAGTAAGTCTGGGATCAACGAATGTTGTAGAATTTGGCAAAGTCACGTATCGACAGGTATCAGGTTTTCGTGCTGCTGTTTGGCTTTTCACTCTGAGTATCAATCTACGATAGGAAGATTGTCTTTCTAAGCCATTTGCTCTCAATAGCAAACTCTTTCATTTCAAAATACTGAATTAAAACACCTGTACTACGCTGGTGAGCCTTAACACTTCCGGTTTAAATGCCCCACCCACCAAAGCGAGGGTCATATTCCCTACCCCTCCGGGCACGGACGACGGTAAAATGCCCGCGGGTTATTCAGGGGAAGGGAGAGTTTAAAGCCTCCAACCCATCGGCGCATTAACATTATGAAAATAGGCTGCCTTTAGACAAACCAGTTACATTCACAGGTTTAGGTAGGAAATTGACCAAGTATACAGCTTTTATTTCACCTTCCACACAGTCATTGAACTTAAATGACCCTGCAGCAATCATTCAAAACTTTCTAAGAAAAATTCTCAGGGAATCAGTCATCTCAATTCTGGTCTCCTTCAACAGAAAATAGATTTAAAAAAAACAAAAGCATAATAGGTGAAAAACGAAGAGTCCTCGACTGGTCATGTACAAATTAAAGACTCTGAAATTTATCTTTAATCGAATATGGGCCTTTAATCGGTCCATTTTTATCCCGAGCTTTAACATACTGCTCTCTGATTAGTTACGCGGTATATGAGCGTGCTATACCACTAAGGTACTCTACGTAAGTGAAGTTGAAGAGCACGTTTCAGCCTCGTACTTGTCGTTATATAGACTATGAATGATATTGCTTGAGGAATTACCCCACCCTTAATGGTTGTTATATTATTAATAATGGCTGCGGCCGCACTAAGATAGTTAAATGAGTGTATTTTACAGAAACCTGATTAAAATTTCTAGAAATATTAACTCGGTGAAAGGTTGGTTAAGATGAAATAACGGGGATATATTTTTTGAACGGCCGCACTGAAATGGGCTATGAAATAGGGGGGAAACCAAAAGTATGCAGGCTTCGAGGACCACGTTGTTATTTTCTCGCTTCTTTCTTTCTTTTCGTTTCCTTTCTCTCCCCTGCACACTACGCAAACTTCCAAGGCAGTTCTTTCGACCGTGATGTTGATTTGCCGTAGATGTCAGAGTATTCTTCATTGCCGTCGGCTGAATCGTCCCTGATATTGGATCTGTCCGAGAAATCAGTGACGGCTTGAGGCAAGCACTAATCCTGCTATGCGTGACTTTTGTAGAGAGCCCTTTCGTATAAACATCGAGTCCTTTCAAGCACTTTGCCGTATCAGTTCTTTCAATATTTATGTTCTCGTTTCGGAGCAGCAGTTTACCGATGGAGAATTATGTGGCGAGCGGATTGTTGCGCTTGAGTAATGTATCTTCTTGTTGTAGCTGTTGTTTACCAGACGCCATGTTCATAAGCTTATGCACTTATTTCTCCTACGTAAAACAACATTCCCCACACACACCGCGATGACTTACACATTTTGCGTCAAGAACAATGCACGGCACTGGTAAGAGACCACTAACTTGAGTTTAACTACGCAGAAAGGTAGTTTAACATTAACCAAACTCGGTTGTAAAATTTATTGTTCTTCAATGAATTACTGTGGTTACCGTAAGCTCAGTTTCAGTTCGATAAAACGCCAAAAAAGCGGCCACATCACGATGTTTCGGTAAAACCGGTTAACTTCAATTGACTAATTAAAATTAACTTGGTTAACTCACCATTAAGTGTTATCTCTTTTATTTTGTTTTCAAAATACACAGAATTATGAGTTGTTTCGTTTTTGTGTTATGTACTTGTTTATTGCCACATCACAGCAGGCAGCGCAGTGAACGAAGCAAGACTTGTTTCAACCGGCATCTCCCTGGAAGGTGTATAGGGCAGTTAATTTAACTTTGACAATGTTATTGGGAAAACCTTTATCGATCAAAATAAATTCAAATACCTCTGTTGTGTTATTTCCAGATGCTGGAAGCTGCGCAGACATTTCGTTTCCCACTGAGTATAACTTCAAACCATACGTTGACGAGGAAGTTAAAAAGCAACATTTTTCTGGAACTGAACTCTTAAAGAAGGGAACAACTGTAACTGCTTCTTCACCAAAATAACTTTAGAGCAAACAGGAGAATGTAACATCTCCGAGGACTGGAAATGTACATTGTTCTCAAACAGAAAAGGTGACAAGTAATGAGAAATCTCGTCGGGAAGACCAGTTGCCTCTAGAAAATTTCATGGAGGGTCCTCTTGCCACAAGATACCCTAAATCAACTCACCAACAGAACGAGACGTGTGCCATTTTTAAAGGAAATGCATGCACTGATGATATAGAAGAAGAACGTAAATAGGTCTTGGACAGGCTCATGTCTACTCTGCAACCCCCAACAAATCTTTCTTTGGGAAAAATTTCAGAAAAAAAAGAAAAGTGTAATGAGAAGGATTATTTGCCAGTAGGAATCAACATTACTTGTCCTGGTACTGAGTTCGAAAGACCTTCGGTCACATTCGTAAACAACAAAAGCTCATGTTCCAAGCGCAAAAACGATGTCTTTGGAGACACTTATGTAGAAGACAGAAGTTGCCAAAAGTCTCACGAACTTTCTTCATTTGGGGTCAAGAACTTTAGAAGCACAAACTTACTAGAGCATCACAACAGATTTAATATTCCTGGAAAACTAGGATTTGATGTGGGCAATTCTTCCTCTGGTGGAGAGACAAATGCTGCCGCAAGAACTCGTGTCTATCACAGGAAAACAAAATCTACCAAAGTAGATTGGGTATATTAAACGTGACGGTCTCGCTACAGTCCAAACGGAAAAACTTGTAAATGTATCTCCGTGTTGGACGGCAGAAGCAACTGTAACAGATGTAAGTCTTCGAGCGAATTTGAGAGTGGGGAAGGTTCGTGACGTATATACGCATTTTGTGGGTGCTTTTTTCTAAATGCACGTGCTTTTTTTTGGAAGAGATTTCTTGTTGATGTCCGCACTCCTTAATTTGGTAGTTGATCTACTTTTTCATATATCAATCAATGACATGTGGTTTGTTTTTGGAGACCAGTTAGTCAGTAGTTTAGTCAGTCATTCAAGCAGGCAGGCAGGCAGCTGGTTAGCCAGTTGTTCAGTGCTTCACTCACGCAGGTATGTTTGAGTTTGATGGTCAGACAGACAATGTGTCAGCTATTCACTCAGTCAGTCAATCAATTAGTTTTTCATTTAACCAGCCTGAAAGGCAGGCATCCAGCAAAAAAATCAATCAGTCAGTAAATCATCCAGCTACATGTAGTGTGCCAGATGGTTACTCGGCTGGTCAGTTGGCTCTCAAGGCACGCCTCCATCAGCGAAAAGAAAAATCACCAAGATGCTGGAATATTGATCAATCATAACTTAACAATCAGTTAGTCAGCGAGTGAGTCGGTCGGTCTCCTGGTCATTCAGTCAGTCAATGACTCAATCAGGCAGGCAGTCGGTCAGTTGGTCTTTCATTCAATCAGTTTGTCAATCAGCTTGTCAGCAAGTTGTCTTAATCTCTTGGTTTTACCAAACAGGAATCAGAAGAACAAGCAAACAAGGACTCTGGAAAAGCCGCATTCTCTGGAGCATATCAGAATGATGTGAGTATTAACTTTTGTTAATGGGAAAAAAATTTAGCCGATTCTCTTCTCTCTGTTGGCTCGAAATGTCAGCTTTTAAACTCTTTACGATAGTCAATTTACGTTATCAACTCAGTTGATAATACTAAATTACTTCGTGGCTGTAGTTTACTTGTAGCTGGGAGTAAAGAGGTTATCTTTTCCACATTTTTGGCTTATTTCATTTCTTTTGCCCTAAGAAACAAGGCAACTAATCTTTCCTACCCTCAATAAAGTCTGGCTCCTTATAATCTTTCAGATCATCTCAGTTTCCCGAGTGACTATGACATAATTACAATTAAGTCATTGAGAACATCGTCATTATAGAAAACCAACATCTTCTGCAACTGTTAGGCGATTGAAAATATTGAGACATATTGTTTCTTTCGATCGCCATATAACTGAATTTTGAAATAACTTTTTTTAATGCGTTTTCTCTTTTCTTGTTTGTTTTTTAATCGTTTTATTTTGTATTTTATCAAAGGAGGTGATGTTACTTGGCGAGGATGGACAAAGCAGTTTCTGATATTTTTAGCTTTGTATTTTGAAACCTGTGAGAGTACAAAAATGTAGTAAAAGATTTTTTACGTAGATTTAAAGTGACTTTGTGGATTTTGTGGTGAAGTTCTTCATTACGTCATGTGCTATTGAGCTCTTCATTCAAATGTATGTGAAAGAATTGTCTAACTATGCGCAGATCAATCGTCACGGCATGAATTACTTTCAGAACCTTACGGCGGCGTGTTAAAGGATTCGCTTTCCATTGTGGAAAGGGACAAAGTTAAAGGAATTGGGATGAAGACCAGCTAATGTGTTTTTATGGTCAAAAGACAGCGGTCGTTCATTCCTTTCTTATGCTCCATCGCAAGAACTACATTTCTGTTCTCTAGAACAGTTGCTGCAACTTTTTCCTTTGTCTTCCAAACCGAGAACACCAGTCAGAAAATTAGACGATAGGGTTTCTGGTATCAAATAATGTTTTTCGGAAATGAAACTACGAAACATATCAAAAACGACTAACATAATGCTAAGTACGTCAAAATACTGATCTACATGTACCCGACTTGACATTAGTTATAATACATTACATTAATGCCGCTCCTTACGAAGTTCCACTGAAAACAGATTGTAGGAAAGATCATTAACTCGTGGTTTTGGTTTTCAGCGATAAAACAAATATTTCACAATTTTCTGTTTTTTCTCAGGTTCAATGTTCTATAGCCCATGTCCTCCTAAGTTGGCTAGCTATTTCTCATTTTCATTTTTAAATAACACTTTACAGTGGGCCGTAACTCATACATTTCTCCGCTTTGTTACAAGTGATCACTCTCTGATTCAATTAGAGCGTGAATTGCCTCAGAGATGCACTCGACTCTCACAAAAATTAGGCCAGAATTTTTTTCGAGGACTTGATACACAATGTCATGAACCCTCAAATGGGCGTCATCTGGCAAAGTATGAGTACCCAAAGGCTGTTCGTGACTGTGGGGGTGTGCAACATGACCCTTAGTTGGGGGTCTATAGGAAAAAAATTCTTCATTCACTGAGGAACATACTTGATTACCATTGTCGGGCTTTCGTAAAGGGGGGAGGGAGGGGGAGCGTTGTGCTCCATTGTGTATGTGGTAAGGGAATTGGATGGAGAAGGATCTTGTGGCCTTAACGCATAAACTTTAGTAGGACTTACATGGATGGTCTTTGAAGCAGGTTCTGAACTTAAATTGGTTACTGATGGGGTTGTAACCGTCACCACTTTTGTTGTTTTTGTTGATACTGATGCAGGCGTGGGCGAGGTGACGTTTGCACCCTCAGTATAAACGGTAAAACACAACGTTATAGCCAAAGCAAGAGTAAAAATCTGAAAGGAGAGAGGTCTTGTGGCTTCGTTCAAAGAGACCACCTCTGCGTATAAGATCCTAGGCTGATACTATTCAGTGAAATTACAAACAAAACTTCCACAAGACAATACATAGTTCAACTCTTAACAACATAAACAACAAAGCTTTCACACTCGTGGCAAATTAGTCAATAATAACCTACTAGAAGCCTGTTATGGCCTTCCCTTTGTTAGCTACTGTCACTGTCCTCACGCTAAGCTGAGCAAACTTTGCGAGGCGCTTCTATTGTTGTTGTCATACTGGCAGTGGTGTCTCGACGACGGCGCATACAGGAGAACAACGGAGTCACCCCTCCCGCCTAGTTCAAAAAGATATCTAAATGGCATACCTCAAAACGTCTACAGTAGATGACTGCGAGTAGTTGATAATTGATCACGAAAATTAGTACTGTCTGTCACGCTGATGGTTAGAAGTTTATTGCGAAGTTTCTACCTTGTTTTCCTTCAACTTAAACTCTTGAAGAACTGATAGAATAGCTTAGAATGGTATTCCTGGGGCATCTCTTCCTTAACCCTTTTAACTCCCAGATCAAATTTGTAACTCTCCTTTCAGTCAACCGTACAATTCTTGTAATGTTAGTTCAAAGAATTTAGTATTAGATCAACTAATTATTCCCAAATTAATATTTTTCTTTATTCTCATCACTTATCTAGTTGATATCGTATTGATATCGTAAGAAGAAATTCTGTCTTGGTCACTTATGGGAGTTAAAGGGTTAACTCGCACAATCCGATGAGTTTCACAACGCAATTGAGATGTAAAGTTTGCATCATTTCCATTTGAGAGTTGTTATTAATCTAAAGAGGAGAGCAATATTATCCAAATGAAGCTAGGGGAGCATTTCTTTCTCATATGGTCAAAACAACCCTGGAAAATTACACTTTTCCTATTCAACGAATATTGAGTCAGCGTGGTGGTCAATTATCATCGAATTTAGCTTTCTGACCAAAAAGGAACATAAAATTCATACAGAGAGGCTAAATACATTAGCAATATTTTTTTCCAATAAAGCACGCGTAGAGCGATAAATCCTGCAATCTAATTGGTTCCTAGAGCGGACAAGATTTTGTCACATACTGAACGGTAACACCTCACCAGATCATCATGCCAATCTATTTTCGTGAATTGTCAACGTTTTGGGTCTAGATATGCAATGCAACTGATAAATTGCTTTCCAGCATAAAAGCGATAGCAAAACGTACTGCACCATCCACCGGGATTTTTACCGACTGCGGGATCTCGTTATCCAACCCTGACAACTGGAATCAGATCTTTCAAGTAGGTAGAGTATAACAGGGTAATTTAGTATTATCAACTAAGTTGAAAACGTAAATCGGCCACTGTAAAGAGTTTAAATGCTGACGTTTCGGGCGTTAACCACTTACCAGGGCGACTGGAGGAATTATGGGTTGTTTGTATGTTTATATGCTTATATTCACAGTCAGTTATCAACTCAGTTTGATAATACTAAATTACCTTTTCAAGTATCCGTTGATTTTTCCATGATGTCGATCCTTTGTTTCTTATTTGTTCGAGTTAAGTTAAGTAGTAACGCAATTGTGTCCTCGCATTCTGTGTGTAATCAAAGCTATAATAAATTTGAGGAGGTTGTTTGACCATCAGCATCCCGACTCGAGCACAAACAGCGATAGGGACGGTTTGCACGTCGTCACAAATGTGTAAAGGGCAGTCTACACATCATGTTTAGCATATTTTGCCTCATTTGCAAGCGTCAAGTTCATTCAAAGATGGTACATTGTTGTTAAATTGTCAGTTTTGAATGAGTGTAACCGATGAGCATTTGATAGTCTTCATGAATTGGTAACAGGAAACTGGATCGCAAATTCTGTTTGTGATTAACATCTGCTACTCCAGGTTGGCGATTGTCAGATTTTGTTGTTCACTCGTATAGTAACAGACTGACTGAAACTCTACTCAGCCCGATACTTTTATTAAAATGTATACATAGATAATTTTTCCCTATGGATATTTTTTGAAAAAAAAAACCATTTCACTAATAAAAAAAAAAAAAATTCGGATAGAACTAGTCAAGGGCCCTTGGTTGAAGTTTCTTTCTGGCGTCGATTATCCAAGAATGTTTGAGGGAGTTTTCAGGAAGGATCACAGGTCAACGATGTTATGATAAAAAATAGACTTTCGGGAGGGTGTTTGTTTTTGTTTTGTGTTCTTGCCTTTCTTTTGCCTTCCGGAATTGTTTAGTTTTATTTCGCCTCCATTTTTTACTTTTTTGAAATCG